GTACAAAATCAATAGTGTACTATGACATGTTAAATAAATAAGGTGCAATTTCTCCTTACATCTATTTAAAGCAATTGACAGACAAGCCTAATGCTTTGTGAGAAACAAACTTGCAATGATCTAGAAACGCAAGATACCTTCTTAAATCTGAGAAGGGTTACATGGAAACACCATAGCTAAAATAATAACAAACCATTAAAGACCAGATGCTTTCCCCTCAACTTAAAAGGAACAAATTCAAGGGTATCATCATTTATTTCTTTTATGAATCACATGAGAATAAAGACAATTAAGTTATACCATGAAAATCAGACTACATTAAGATGCCATCCAACTCCACTGAGAATGTCAATCATTAAAAATATCATTGGCAACAAATTCTGGCAAAGATGTGGACACAGGGAACCCCTGTACTCTGCTGGTAGAAACATAAACCAGTCCGGGTACTGTGGAAGTGTCTCAAAAATCTAACAATATGGTTGTCGCATCTATTGCTCAGTACATTTGTACTAACCCGTCCTAGACCCAAGGCTCAGGAAACTTCTCATAAGAGATGTGGAAAGAAGAGGAGAGCTGAAGGATGGGAGGAGTGCTCTGAAATGATGCCCACCAGACACAACGCGGTCTTTGCACACATGAACAGACAAAAGCCTGCCAGGATTTTGTAAACCTCTGAGAGAGTCAGAAAATCATGAAAGGGGTGTGAGCAGGAAGTAACAATAGCTCCCATAATTTAACAGGATCTCTCCAGATCCTACACTAAGTCAACTAAAGAGGCTCTGGCAAAAACACAAGTGATAGAAGCAGGTGGCCGAGCAGCAATAATGGGGACTAGAAGAAGTAGTCAGATTCTGGCTCATTTGAAAAGCAAAGCCAGAACAATCTGCTGATGACTTAGGTAGACATACACCAGTCCAGTTACTACGGATGTTTTTTTTTTTTTTTTTCAAAGGTCTACTGTATGGGTATTTGTGTGAAATACTTCAGTGTATCAGAGACACGAGCACACTGCTTATTGCAGCCTAAGTTTCTAAGTAACAGAAAAAAACGAATAAGAAAAGAGAGTGTATATGTAAATGAAGGAAGAATAAAGTTAACATCATTTGCAAGGAAAGAGATTCTACGAGAGATAATTATATTAAGTGAGTTTGGCCAGTCTCAGAAAGACAACTACCATGTGTTTCCTCCCGTTTGTGGTCCTTAGATTTTCCTTAGACATATAAAATTGTGAGTGTGTCTATAAAACGGCATTAGAGGTGAACAAAGGGGACTAAATGAAGACAAATGGAAGGAGGGAAGAGGGGTAAAAATGGAGAAGAGAGGAAGAAGCAACAGGGCAATGGGGAATATGCTTATCAAGCAAAGTACACCCATAAAGATTATATTAAATTGATACATCAATTTAAAAATTCAGCCTGAAGAGGTAAGGGCCATCACAAGGCCCTACCTTTGATAGTGAAGGTTTTGATGCTTGATAGCTACTGAGGACCTGAGAGTCCTTTTCTGCTCATTCCCCAGTGGGTGGCCCCGTGTCTGTGCTCTCATGGACAACACTAACTAACCAGGTGGGTAAATAAAGGAAGCCATGAAAGTGGGAGGGAAATGTGATGAAAGGTGCAGAAGGGAGCTGAAGGAGAGAGCAGAGGCTGGATGTGATCAAGGTATATTGTACCCATGTCTGAAGTTGTAAAAAGATTTAAAAAGAAGCATTATTTTAAAAGGAGTATTTTAAAAAACAGAAGAAATAGAATATTGACCTGAAGACTTTCAGGCTGTATTTCATTGTTTTCCAAATAAGTGGGGATGGGGCATATCAATAATAAAATCATGTTTTATTAATTTGTTAATAAATAAATACATCTACAATATGACCCAGCTATACTACTCCTGCATATTTACCCAAAGACTCAAAGTCGACATATCACAGAGATAATCACACATCAATGTTTATTGCAGTGCTGTAGCTAAATTAGGAGACCAGCCTGGTGTCCAACAACAGATAAATCAACAAGTCCCAGGGTTTCTACATGCCTAAGATGGCTGTTACACATCTCCAGACCTGTGCTTAGGGATGAAAAGGTCTTTATTTCTAGATAATATCCAATAATTTAGACCTCATCATTAGAGTTCATTTTCCTACTGCCTTTTGAGTAGCTGGGAAATCAGACTAAAGGATTTATGACTGAAGGAATTAATTTCAAGATTTTATCCACAGTCAATAACCAGAAACAACCTGTTCATCTGTCACTGTACTTCTTGATTGTTTGAAGAATGAAACAAAATAAAAATTCATAAAGCTACACCAATCTATATTTTGATGTAGCGGTGGCTCCAAATGTAACTTTACATAAGCATGTCCTCCTACTTAGAAAAGTACTATTCTTCCTTAACATTTGAAGATCTCATTTTGCATATAGCTTCTTCAGGCACAGAAACAGAGAGATACTCAAACCTCTGTGGGCTAGAATCAAAGTGGGGGGTTCTTCCTGTCTCTATAGGAACCATGATGGTGCAAAGAGACCTATTATTTTCATGCACTACGAAGGCTCTCGTGACAATTGAAAGGGTGACCTGTGGAGGTGATGAATCCATAAAGCCTTCTCTTCTAAAAGGCAACTTGAAAAGCCATAGTCCTTCTTTGTCAGTTCCGAGTCAAGCAGCAAGGCTTCCAATGTCATCACAGAAGTGCAGACATGCTTACATTTACTGCATGACGGTTTACCAGGGTCCTTGTACAACAGCCTGCTCTAGACACCCAGGCTTCCTCATAAGTTTTTTGGTAAGTTCTGATGAATGTAATGTTATTTCCATTGTCAGTTTGCTTTTACTTTCTCAAAGTGCCAGTTCTACTTTCTTAATGTTCAAATTCTGCCCATCAACAGTTATAACAATAAGATAGACCAAGTAAGACACACAAATGTTCATTGGCATACGATACATAAAATACCTTTGTATAAATATATTTTATGTAGTATTTATCATATTTATATATTGCTTATATGATATATTTTTATAGATCTTAGATATGTATTTTAATGGGATTAATTATCACTTATAGGAGCCCATCAAATAAGGATAAAAATGTATGTTTATTATGCACAACCTTATTATGATGCCATACAAAGTCTGAGCAATGAGGGAGTAATAGTTTAATTACTGATACCATTACACTAAGAATAAAGTTATACGAATAATGGGAAATCAATAAGCACCTGCATATGGTTTTATTTTCACCTGTCTACACATGCTATTTACCTCTCTGATACTAGTAAGTGAAGTCCAACACAAATTGGATATTTTTATAATGAGATTTTTCAATCTTAGACATAGAATTTCATGTCTATTTAAATGAAGGATTATTACTCATTCCTATATTCCCACATTAAGTGGAATTCACATAAAATAAGAGGGTAAATGTATGCAGCAGGGGGGGAAGTTATGCTTGTATTCACATTTTTACTATAGAATTAGAGAGTTCTAGAGGTGATGTGATTCAGTCAGGCAATAGCAATCTTTTCTGCAACATTTACCACAGAAAGTGAGTCACTGCAAGCCACCTGCAGAGATGGCTCCTGAAACTGTATTCAGAGTGTCTGTCAGCTGTGGTGATATATAATTTATGATTTATTAAAGCTTGCCTGAAGATTCAGAAAGCAAAGTCAGCCACAAGCCACAGAAGACAGGCACACACCTTTAATCCCAGCAGCCATAGAGCTAGGAAGTGGTGGTACACACCTCTAATCCCAGGACTAAGGATTAAGAGATAAAAGGATCTGTGTTAGTTCAAGGCCACACTCAGCTACTCAAAACTGATCCAGTCCTAACGAGAAACAGCTCACATAAAGATGATCTCAGCACCTGGGATCACATGCCTTTAATCCCAGTCTTCATGAGAGGTATACAAGATAAGCAAGGTCTCGGATCAAGCGTTCATTCTCCTGGCACACTGTGGACAGGAGGCATTTACTCTACAGTCACATGGAGGATAAGAAGACATTGAAGGCTCAGGATTCTCAGGAGAGGTTTCAGTCTGAGGTTTGGTGGAGCCAGGATTTCATTTCAGTCTGAGGTAGAGTGAGAGCTAGTGACCAGCTGCTTTGCTTTTCTGATCTTCAGCTTGAAGCTTGAAGCCCAATATCAGTCTCTGGATCTTTTATTTTTCCTAATACAGTAAACATTGAGCCAAAAGACAAGGCTACTGATCCTGCTGTCATGCCTGACAACCAGCACAGTTCCAATCCTGTCAATCACAAAAATGCTCATCGAAATGTTAATGTGAAGAACTCAGTGACAAGATTTTTGACTGAATCTAAGCCTTTATGCTTAAATGGAAAAGCACTCTGTGAGGTCTTTATTGTAGACTGGAAAATATCTGTGGAAGGAATAATGAATAATGATTCTTCTATATTTAAACCTGGTACACCCTACTGAACCCTTCCCACTCAGTATTGAATGCAATACAGTTTTGAAACATTGGTCCATCATTTAGGATTCATTGTTTCTAATTAAAAATAATTAGAGAGCTACTGAATAATGTTAGCTAAGACGAGCAGAATTTATTTGAAAAATATGGTGTAACCTGTAGAATCAAACAATGTTTGACTTGCATTAAAATGGGTATATTTATTATGAAATTTTAGATCCATCAAAAATGCTACAATCATCAAGCAAGCATGATGGGTCAGTGCTCTTAGAGTCACAGCAAGGTATGAGGAGAAAACCAACTCCACAAAGTTCCCCATATGTGTGTAATGGCAAGTACACCCACACAAACACACTATGCACACATACACAATAATAATCACTAAAAATGTCTTAAATGTCAAGAGAAAGATTTTTGTGCACACAACAAAGAAATCTTTTTAAAACTCCATTTAAACAAAAATTCACTTCAGCTATCCTTGCTTTGCTAACCTACAAAGGGCATGACATTAGCACAAATCAGTATGAAAGTCTACCTTTAAACCAGTCATTAACTCAGTGTCCTCTGTCATAGGGACATGGGAAACAATATGACATTGATCACAGAGTTCATCCTCCTGGGATTTCCTCTCGGCCCAAGGATGCAGATGCTCCTCTTCGCCCTCTTCTCCCTATTCTATGCCTTCACTCTCCTGGGGAACGGGACCATCGTGGGGCTCATCTGCCTGGACTCCAGACTCCACACTCCCATGTACTTCTTCCTGTCCCACCTTGCCATCGTTGACATTGCCTATGCCTGCAACACCGTGCCCCAGATGCTGGTGAACCTTCTAGATCCAGCCAAACCCATCTCCTTTGCTGGCTGCATGACACAGACCTTTCTCTTCTTGACATTTGCTATCACAGAATGCCTCCTCCTCGTGGTGATGTCCTATGATCGGTACGTGGCCATCTGCCACCCGCTCCGATACTCTGCCATCATGAGCTGGAAGGTCTGCAGCACCATGGCTATGACTTCCTGGATCACTGGGGTGCTCCTGTCCTTGGTTCACCTGCTGCTACTTCTGCCTTTACCCTTCTGTGTATCTCAGAAAGTCAATCACTTTTTCTGTGAAATCACAGCTGTTCTCAAACTTGCCTGTGCAGACACACACCTCAATGAGACCATGGTCTTGGCTGGGGCAGTGTCGGTGCTTGTGGGACCGTTCTCCTCGATTGTGGTCTCTTATGCCTGTATCCTTGGTGCTGTCCTGAGGATCCAGTCGGGGGAGGGTCAGAGGAAAGCCTTTTCCACCTGCTCCTCCCACCTCTGTGTGGTTGCATTATTTTACGGCACAGCCATTGTCATGTATGTTGGACCAAGACACGGGAACCCGAAGGAGCAGAAGAAATATCTTCTACTGTTTCACAGCCTTTTTAACCCAATGCTCAACCCCCTGATCTATAGTCTCAGGAACTCGGATGTGAAGAATACTTTGAGGAGAGTTCTGAGGATGCAGAGAGTTTTGTGACAAGTTGGCAGCATCATGCTTGACCGTTGACAGAAGAAATTTTCCTCTCACAGGGGTCCCAACCATTCAGAGCATTTCCTTCATTGAGTTGTCTCATGCCCTCCACCGGATGACTGCCTCAGTAGTTGTGGGAGGAATTTCTAGAAATCTGTAATTTCAAATGCTGACAGTAACAGATTGTGGCGCAGTTAGTCCCCACCAGAGCCAAGGTTTCAAAGCCACAGTTCCAAAAGAGTACTTTTCAGAGCCCTTGCTTGACAAGATGTAGCGCTCTGTGTCACCAAAACACTCTCTGTTCAAAGAATAAGTCTTCCAGAGGACTTTTAAATGCCCTATGTAATGGAAGAAGATGACGAATGACTTACGTCTTTATTAGTATAGTGAAAGCTATAAAATTTACTTTTGTTGAAAAACAGAATTCTATTGCGCTTTTTTAAAGACTTGGCTTTCGCCAAAGTTTATTGTTGTGCCATTTTTTTTTTCAGATACAAGCTAATAGGAGGTTTATTGGCAATTTTTGTATATTTCCTGAAAATCCCCTCTAGGAACAATATGTTTTCTCCCACTGCCCCCACTTTCTCTCTTCCCCTCCCCCCAAAATGGAAGTCTCTACAGAGGAAGTCAGTTTGAGAACAGTAGCTCACATCAGTGCATGTCAAGATCTGTTTGTTACAGAAAGTGGGGGTCACTGACTATCTCTATTGTTCAATATGAGCCTTTGGAGAAAATGACTCAAAGCATCTCTTGTTTCTTGGTCCAGCATGCCATTATAAACCTTGAGTAGTGAGTCTATTCAGTCTCACAGTCTTCTAAATTTGTGATGAAAACCTGTGTGAGTTTGTGTGTGTGTGTGTGTGTAAACACACACACACACACACACACACACACACACACACACACACACACATTGTTTGTTGGGGGGTTGGATATGTGGTTCAATGAAATGATGGTTGATTAGCATGCATGTATGAAGCCTTAGATTCCATCTCTAGCTTCTCAAAAAGAAAGGGTGTGTGTGTGTGTGTGTGTGTGTGTGTGTGTGTGTGTGTGTGTGTGTGTGTGTGTGTGTGTGTGTGTGTGAGACAGAGACAGAGACAAAAAGTTGTATCTTTTCTTACAGAAACCTGAGGAATGTTAAACCCACAGTGAAAAGCTGTGTTCACTTGCCATGATGCAAAACAAAAAACAAACAAAAAAAAACCGTGCATTTTAAGTGATTCTCTTACCTGGCTTAAATCTCATGACATATACTCATGACTGTTGTTCCTTAACACATTTTTACAGCTACCAAACAGTATTGAATGTTGAAACTTGTCCTAAAATAACTGCTTCCACAAATGTACTATTTCCTTTATACCACTTTTCTCTTCAATGTCAGCTGCTTGATTTGCACAGTTTGCAGATGCCCTGAGACATAACAAAAGGAGCTTGTGTTATTTATGAATGACCAGTAAAGCACCGAGATTTTCCTGTAGCCAGAAGCTATTCTTGTCACAGAATGAGCAGAACTAGAACACGAGCTGGCGTGCACTCAAAAATAGATGGTTATGACAATTTTCCCTGCAAAGGCATGCTATAAGGAGCCAGTTTGTAAATTCCATGATTGGTTGACCTGAAAAAATTTTAAAATAGCACTCTGACATCTCTATATCAAGTAAAAAAAATACGGAAGTAAGATATGAAGGCTAATATTGTTCTAGAAATGTTGAACTTAATTTTTTTCCATTTGTACAGGGGCAACGCACTGTATTAAATATGTAAGGTCTTAAAAAAAAGATCTGAAGGCTATGACAGTGTCTTAGACAATATCTCAAATAAGAGCCTTCCATAGATAAAAAGGCACTTTTCCAGGGGAAGGTGTCACGGAGGGAGTCTTTTCCTCCCTCCTTTGAGGGCCTGAACTCAGAATCTCTACACTTCACAGCAAATCTCTATGGGAGGTTTGTGCCCTAGAAGAAAGCCCCACAAGGCAGGTCCCCAGAGGCCCCACTGGGATTCCTTGGCCCCTTCTTGGACTTTCCACACCTTCTTTACAAGCTCACACAGCACATCCACAGCTTGAAATGCAACTTGGGTCTTGTCTTCGCATTTCTGCTACACCCCCAAGGAACTCAGGTTCCACCAAGGAGAAGCTGAACTGCACAGTGGGTTCTGGGAACTCAGGGACTGGTCCTGCCTCCTGACAGGTTCACCCCAAGTAACTAGAGATGGGGGACAGTGCAATTCTGGAAACTTTGAAGACAGATAATGTCACGTAATCGAGAAGTATAATGAGTGTTGAAGCCTCCTGGGTGTACTGGATGGCTGCGTATGTTTCCTAATTGTATGTCCTGCTGGGGATGAGAGCAGAGATAAAACCCAATTCTTTGTCTCTGCTTCCCAGCAAAGATTGACATGCATGAAGTCTCATGACCCTGTGCCTCCAGTGAGCCTTCAAGAGCTGCCAATTTGGCTGAGCCTTAGAGAATAGAGCCTCCTTTCCTGAGGAGTCTGTCATTTCTCAGAAAGGGGCGATAGTGAGGGTTCTGCACATATACAGAAGCTCTGAGGACACAGGACCTGTGCCGCCAGTCTCCCGCTGCTTCCTCTTCTGAGACCCTAAGGTCCTCATGTGGAAGCTATCGAGGTAACCTGAATTTACTCCACCTTTAATTCCTGCCAGACAAGTTGTAACATCTAGCCTTTAGTCATCTGCCATGCTCACTGCCATTCCGTCTGTATCCAGAAGAAAAACAAATTCATTGTATGAGGGTGTGTGTGTGTGTGTGTACAATGTGTGTTCATATGATACTCATCATTCGCATTCTGTATGAATAGTTAGGAATTTCCACTTTATGGGTTTAAATGAGATATGTGGAATAATCTTCCTACCTAATGGAGACTATAGTAGAATGGCTTATGGAACGATACTCTACTCCAGTGAAGTTAATATATTTGGTTGTTTTTAAGTGTTGCATCTAATTCTTGTCAGCACTGTCAAAACACATGCTGTGTTTATGATGTATTTACTGCGGTAGAGTAGAAAGCTAAATGGTTGCTAAGTAGTGCATTTTATACTAGCCCTCCATTGAACACAACTTGATAGACATACTCAGACACTTAGAAGGTACTCTGTAAATAAGTAGATTTTCTGTGACACTGAAAATGAGTCTTTGGCTAGAGGTGGAAAGAAATGGAAAAGATACTTGTTTCCAAGGTAACATAGGAGCACCCAACAGATGGTCAATTATTACCAGCCCTCAATGAGTTACTGAATGGACCGTAATTTCGTGAGAGTGATTTTCTAGCTCTTGTTCATCCAGGATAGTCTCTACCCCCAGAAAAAACCTTTTTTTTTTTTTTTGCATCAATTCTCACTCCTTAAGATAACTTGGCAAAGTCTATGTTTATAATAAGTATTCAAGTAAGAAATGTAATATTTTATGCGCTTCCTTCTTATTTACAAATAAGAAATCCTCATTTGAGCTGGACAATTGACTAACAATGTGAGACTGTTTTACAAATTCTGCTTCACCCAACGCTTAATACTGTAGGAAGGAGACTGGCGGTTCATTAAAACTTAGAGATTTAATTGTGTTATTAATTAAGCTTGTTTTGACAACATTATCCATGTATCTAATGCATTCCCATCAATTACTCTCTCCTCCCACCCTCTCCTACCCCCCTCCACCTCTGTTGAATTCCTTCCTATTCTCTCTCAGTCCTTATCCCAGATTCCTGGCTCTGAGTTTGTTTTGTGGCCAGTTTAGTTCAGCCAGCACAATTCTGTAAGCACTGCATTGTGATTAACCATGGGAGCCTGGTGAGCTCATCAGCACGTGCACAGCTCAAGGCAATGACTTCCCCGTCCCTAAATCTATCATCAGCAAATAGCCCAGCAGTGAGGAGCAAGGGCCCCTGAGCTCCTCAACCCGTGCTGACAGCTAACAGTCCCACAACGTGGAGTCCCTGCAGAGCGAAAGAAATTGAGTCTGTGTGGTTTCCATTTGTTATTACACAGCTATCAAAAGAAAAAATAATAAAAGAGAAGTGTGTTCTAGATTCAAGTGCCGAACACTCTGTGAACCCTTCTACTGTTCTTTTAAGATTTTTAAAGTCACACTTTAATACTGCTCACAGGAATGAAGTATTTCAAAATTCTAGGACTCACTTCCAGCTAGAAGATGGGTCTGAGTTCAACACAATTATAGTAGACTTCATTTTAAATGAAACCAGTCTCAGAACACAGTAGTTGTTTCTCTTTCCTCATTAACTTTATACCCAACAAATATGTATGAATTGTCAGGGTTACAAAACAAACAGCACCACTCAACTGCTTTCTCAAGGTGGACTCGAGAGAGCTTCTGGGCTGAAAAGATGCTCACACATCTGACCTTTTCAATTCGTCTTTCTTTTAGCGTCCGACGTTGTAGTCCAGAATTTTGTGTGTTTAACAACAGTTGAGGATCAGTGAGATAGATAGCTCAGCTGGCAAAGGTGCCTGGCACCACCTGGCCATCTGAGTTTTATATCTGTGACCCACAAGGTGGAGAGACAGGTCAAACACCTGCAAGTTGTTCATCTTCCACATGTAAGCAGTGGTGCACACATGTCCCCCCATATGCACACTAAATAAATAAATGAAATGAAAGGGACTTTATTAAACAAAAATTAGACACTTTGGCAACCACAAAAACATTTCTTTCTACACGGACATGATCTATCATGCCTTGATGCCTTTAATCCCAGCACTTGGGAGTTAGGGGCAGGCAGATCTCTGTGAGTTCAAGGCCAGTCTGGTCTATAGATCGAGTTCCAGGACAGCTTCCAAAGCAATACAGAGAAACCTGTCTCGAAAAGCCAACAAAAAACAAAACAAAATAAAGAAATAAAGATATTATTTAGGTTATTTTCATATCATTAAATCTGGCCATTTGTTTGAAAGAAAACAAATCTCTTACTTAAAAGGAAAGCATACTTACCACCAAAGCTTGCTTAAAGGGGATTTCATTGGTCAGGATGGGATCAATAACACTGTAGACCCAGCTTTAGAAGTGTTCTTTGGGGTCAGCATCATGCTACAAGTTATAATATATAAATACAGCTTATTTAAAATTTAAAGCGCAGGATTGTTCTAATAATATTTTGCTTTCCTGTAGAGATATCTGTTCACAAAAAGAAGTTATTACCGGGTGGTTGAAGAACACAGAACTGCGGCAGGAAGACCTGAAGATCAGAGATCGTTACTGGTAAGGTTGCTGATAGTAAGTCACCAAACCCATTGCTCCAGCCTGTAGCTAACCAAGCAGCTATCATCCTTACGTTACCTGGTTCCTCTGGCCCCTCCTGGAAGGCCATTTGCATTTGCTACTGAATGCTGCCTTCAAACCTGATGTACCTTCTCCACATCCATCCCAACAACTTTTTATTATTATTATTATTATTTTTACTCTTTCTCCACATACATATGTCATGAAACCAACCACATTTGGGCTCACAGATTTCACCAAATCCTTCTAACCTTCTGCTGGGAGACTGTATCTAACAAGAATGGCCTTTGAGAAGTCCCAAAATTCTCCAGTCCCGACTTTCCTTGAGTTGTCTTGTTTCCACCTCTGCACTGTTAGTCTCATCAGCTGTGAGTGTAGTTTGCAATTCTCTCTCTCTCTCTCTCTCTCTCTCTCTCTCTCTCTCTCTCTCTCTCTCTCTGTGAGTTTCACCTTCTTTATCTCTCTCTCTCTCAGAATACAATCCTGCCTCTCATGTTAACTTCTTCATGAACATCCCTTAACATCACCCTGTGTCATGATGACAGTGAAACTAGGAGATGGAATGAACTCGGTGGTGTTATTCCTCACACTGTTTGTGGAAAGGTAGCTAAACCTTAAATTATTTTGAGCTTATAACAGCTCTCATAAATGTTAGCACTCCAAACTATATTGAATGTCAACAAGACTTCTTGGGGAAATTATGATCAAAAAAGCCATGTTCCTCAATTTAGCATACAAACAATGAATAGACTATTTTATCACTAATTTGACAATGGAGATATCTGTCCAATAACAGATAAGGTGAATTTTCAATTTATAAATATTTTCTACTACATACTTTTATTTTGTGGAACTCTGTAGACCAGGGTGGCCTTGAACTCAGAGTTTGCCTGCTTCTGCCTCCCAAGTGCTGGGATTAAAAGTATGCACCACCATGCCAGCTGAAGAATATGAACATTCTTATAGATGAGGTCAGCTACTGTTTTTCAGTTTGAATAGAAAATTGTTGTGTTATAAATTTCAGATATGGTATGTACTATGAATACAAAGGATTGAATTAACAATAAAAACCGACCTGTCTTATTTTCATTTTAGGCTCTTTTATGAAAAAGAAACACAGAAGGGATGATCTGATCAGATAGTGCATAGGAAATTTTTTTCTATGAGTGTTTGCTTGTAGACACCTGTCATGCCCAGCTTCAAAATTCTGGAGCATCACACATTGTTGGGCTTGTAAATACAGCTGATGAAACACAAAATGCCCTATTGTCTATGGGTTCCCATTGAAAGATTCTTGTGGCAAATTAATGATTATGGAAATTGCTTGGTGAACCAGCCGTCAAGTTAACAAATATTAGTTTGTTTCCATTTTTCAAGACAATAATACATATTTTGTAAGATATAGTTATATACATTTTATTTATATATCTAGACGAAGATATATACTATCATAAATCATTATTTGATAGTGTTCATACAAATCATTTCCTTCTCACTACCTCATAACACTCCACATTGTATTAAAGTATCTAAACATTAAATTGAATTCAATAAGTAAATACCCATAATTATTTTTGTTCATCAAAAACAATATTAATAAGAAAGCTGCTGTTTCACAATTTCCTTTGGATAGAGCTATGAAAGTAGTCTCTAGTTAGTTAAGATATAAATATTTCTAGCAGCAATCATAACTTCTACCAAAGCAACTCGAATTCTTTTCTTTCCTAGTGCTGTTCTCATTTTGAGAGCTCACTTTGAGATTCAGCAATTCCCCTACAGCCTGAAATGACCAATGCTTCCTGTTTATTTTGTATGTGTGGATTTGCTAGTTTTTAACTGCCTCGGAAGTCAATGGTTCTAAGTAAATAAGCATTACTGACACATTTTTCTTCTGAAACTTCAATGTCAGACTAGTTATTCTGCTTATAGACGATCTAGTTTTCATAAGCATTTACTTATTTACTTTTAGTTAATTAAGTTCCTATGGGAGGTGATTAATAGTATTCCATGCCTGAGACAAGTAAACACCAGTTGTGTCCAACACATCTGTGGATGACAGACACATGCTACAATGACAAAAAAAAAAAAAATGACACCTCCATTTGAAACTGTTGTGTTTCAGTTCCCTGCATTTCTCTTTCATACTGAAATGGAGGAAAACCACACAATGGTCACAGAGTTTGTCCTGCTTGGATTCTGCCTTGGCCCAAAGATTCACCGAATTCTTTTTGCATCTTTCTCACTCTTCTATGCCTTCACCCTGCTGGGGAATGGGGCCATCCTTGGGATAATCTGTCAAAACTCCAGACTCCACACTCCCATGTACTTCTTCCTGTCCCACCTTGCCATCGTTGACATTGCCTATGCCTGCAACACCGTGCCCCAGATGCTGGTGAACCTTCTAGATCCAGCCAAACCCATCTCCTTTGCTGGCTGCATGACACAGACCTTTCTCTTTTTGGCTTTTGCACACACAGAATGTCTCCTCCTCTTGGTGATGTCCTATGATCGGTTTGTGGCCATCTGTCACCCGCTCCGATATTCTTCCATCATGGGCTGGAGAGACTGTGCTGGTCTGGTTATCACATCCTGGGCTTGTGGCTCACTCCTTGGTATGGTTCATATGAGCCTCATCCTGAGGCTGCCCTTCTGTGGGCCCCATGAAATCAATCACTTCTTCTGTGAAATCCTGTCTGTCCTCAAGCTGGCCTGTGCTGACACAACACTCAACAAAGTTGTCATCTTTGCAGCTTCTGTGTTCATCTTAGTGGGCCCCCTGTGTTTTGTACTGGTCTCCTACACACGCATCCTAGTGTCTGTTCTGAGGATGCAGTCAGCAGAGGGCCGAAGAAAGGCCTTCTCCACTTGCTCTTCCCACCTCTGTGTGGTTGGGCTCTTCTTTGGCAGCGCCATTGTCATGTACATGGCCCCCAAGTCTCAGCACCCCGAGGAGCAGCAGAAGATCCTTTTCCTGTTTTACAGTTTTTTCAACCCAATGCTGAACCCCTTGATCTACAGCCTGAGGAATGCTGAGGTCAAGGGTGCCCTGAGAAGGGTTCTGTGCAAAGAAACTCATTCCCAGTTGGTGTGATTCTTGGACCACTAGCCTCAGTAGTTTCCTAGTTTCCTGTAATATCACCTCCAGTTGTTACCTAAATACAAAAACATTCACATTGTCTTTTTTCTATTCCTAATGATAAGAACACATCCTCCTTCTACTGATACAAGAATAAAATATAGATGAATTGCATTCTTGACACAAGGTTTCATCAGACATGACTAATTTCCAATTGAATTGATTATGTAACCATGTAATGTTGTTATATCACTCCATATCTCTTCAATATTGTACGTGAAGTTCTAGCTAGAGCATTAAGACAACAAAAGGAGATCGAAGGAATACAAATTGGAAAAGAAGTAGTCAAACTTTCACTAATTGCAGATGATAAGATAATGAACCTCTTATAAGAGAAAGTGGGAGGTACCCTTGAACGAATTGTTACAGGAGACTGCTTCCTGTACATTACACCAGTAGCACAGACACTGAGATCAGCAATTGAAAAAGGGAACCTCCTGAATCTGAGACGCTTCTGTAAAGCAAACAACCCAGTCAACAAGACAAAACAGCAGCCCACAGAATGGGAAAAGATATTCAACAACCGCACATCTGACAGAGGGCTGATTTCCAAAATACACAATGAACTCAAGAAGCTAGTCTCCAAAACACCAAATAATCCAATTTAAAAGTGGGGTACAGAACTAAATAGAGAATTCTCAATAGAGGAGTCTAAAATAGCTGAAGACACATAAGAAAGTGTTCTGTTAACATCCTTAGCCATCAGGGAAATGCAAATCAAAATAATTCTGAGATACCATCTTACTCCTATCAGAATGGCTAAAATCAAAAACACCAAGAAAGTTTATGTTAGAGAAGATGTGGAGAAAGAGGATCACTCCTCCACTGCTGGTGGGAATGCAAACTTGTACAGCTACTTTGGAAATCAGCATGGCAGTTCCTCAGGAAAATGGGAATCAGTGTACCACAAGATCCAGCAATTCCACTTTTAGGCATATACCCAAATGATGAACATTCATACAAGGACATCTGTTCAACTATGTTCATAGCAGCATTATTTGTAATATCCAGAACCTGGAAGCAGCCTAGCTGCCCCTCAACTGAAGAATGGATAAAGAAAATATGGTACATTTACACAATGGAGTACTACTCAGCAGAAAAAAACAATGGAATATTGAAATTCACAGGCAAATGGATGGAACTAAAAGAAACTATCCTGAGTGAGGTTATCCAGTCACAAAAAGACAAACATGGTATGTACTCACTCATATGTGGATTTTAGACATAGAGCAAAGGATTACCAGCCTACAACCCACACTGCCAGAGAAGCTAGGAAACAAGGAGAACCCAAAGAGAGGCATACATGGTCCCTGGAGAAGGGGAAAGGGACAAGATCTCCTGAGCAAATTGGGAGCATGGGGGGAGGAGAGAGGGAGCCAGGACAACAGGAAGGGGAGAAGAGGAGAGGAGAGGAGGACATGAGAGAGCAGGAAGCAAATTGAGTCAAGGCAAGAATAGAGGAGAGCAAGAAAAGAAATACCATAATAGAGGGAGCCATTATAGGTTCAAAGAGAATTCTGGCACTAGGGAAATGTCCAGAGATCTGCAAGGATGACACCAACTAACAATCTAAGCAATAGTGGAGAGGCTACCTTAAATGCCCTTCCCCGATAATGAGATTAATGACTACCTTATATGCCATTCTAAAGCCTTCATCTAGTAGCTGACAGAAGCAGAAGCAAACACCCACAGCTAAACACTGAACTAAACTCCTGGAATCCAGTTGCAGAGGAGTGATGAGCAAAGGGGTCAAGACCAGGCTGGAAAGACCCACAGAAACTGCTGACTTGAACAAGAGGAACTCATGGACCCCAGACTGATAGCTGGAAAAGCAGCTGATCCAGACCACCTGCCCATGGGTGTCAGTTAGGAGGCCTATGTAATCTATGGGGCCTCTGGTAGTGGATCAGTATTCATCCCTAGTACACAATCGAACTTCAGGAGCCCATTCCACATAGAGGGATACTCTCTCAGCTTAGACACACAGGGGAGGGCCTAGGCCCTGCTTCAAGTGATATGCCAGACTTTGAAGATCCTCCATGGAAGGTCTCACCCATCCTGGGGAGCGAGAAGGGGATGAGATAGGGAGCCGGTGGGGGCAGGGGAGGAAGGGAGGGAGAGAGAACAGGGATTGACATGTAAAACAATCTTGTTTCTAACTTAAATTTTAAAAAGAGGAAAAATAAAAATATATAAAAAAGAACAATAAAAAAATAATTGGTGTTGTTATGTAATGATAATTATTTTTATTAAGTCATTATAATTCATTTTCTTGGTCCAAAAATTTATACGGCATCAAACCTTTAAGGTAATTGGATATCTTCACAAACTGCACAAGATTTAGAAGCAAAACAAGCTATACCCAAAGAAAATCCATCACACACTGGTCCATTTTCCAATTGCACTTGCCTGGTCCAGGAAACACTTGAGGATATGTACTTACTTGTGCTTTGTGAGACCAACAACTTTTATAATAAAATTATTGACTCATATTAGGATCTTGTTTGCTGAGTCAGAAAAAAAAACAGAATTAAAAGGAGAACTACAGAAGGAAGAAGGGAGTATTTTTTTTAAGACCATAGACAGTGAAATCAATGAAGCTTCATTTTTGGTTTGGGGATTCATTGGTAGCTAGTAAAAGGGTAAATGTGAGCATTGTCTCCTTGAATAAGCTGCAAGTGAGAGTCCGCTTGAACGGTTTGGGTTGTGACTTATTCCTCCACAACTGTACAATGATGAGTTCTTGCAGACTTTTCTATGCAGTGTTTTTCAGCCTCTTTCCACAAGCTCTTCTATTCTATTACTCTAGGTGCCTGTCACTGCCCTCCAGTTCTTCTCGCCCTCCGTGAGAAGCTTTCAGGATATAGTTGGCACATAGCTGCCTCTGCAACTCGATTAAAAACTAGAGACTAGCACTCAGTCTCCAAATATTGTAGGTGATTTCTCAGTTAGTTATCTATGAACTCATTTAATCTATCTGCACATGTATTCCCCTGCCTGCTTGTGTATACTCCGCATACATGTATATATCCATGTGTCATGTATGAGTGTGTGTGTGTGTGTGTGTGTGTGTGTGTGTGTGTGTGTGTGTGTGTGGGTGTTTTTGTTGTGGTTGTTAATATTTTTTAGATTATATCGTGTGTGTGTGTGTGTGTGTGTGTGTGTGTGTAGGGCAGAGGTCAACTTTGGATATTTTCTTCTGATCGCCCCTTCAGTTTTTGAAACAGGATCTCTTTCTTGAACCTGATGCTGTTTTGGCTAGGCTGGCTTACCAACCAGCCCCCAGGATCCCTTGTCTCTACCTCTGCCACACAGGGGTTACTGGTGTGTGCTTGTATGCCTGCATTTTTTGTGGGCACTGAGGATCTGAACTCAAGAGCCCATACTTATGCAGCAAGCACTTAACACACAAAGCCATATCTCTAGCCCCTGAAATCATCTTTTTAGTTTTCCTTGAGAACTAATGCACTCTTATATCTCAGGTCTTTCTCAATATCACAAGGGAGTATTTTTTTTTTGTGTGTGTGTGTGTGTGTGTGTGTGTGTGTGTGTGTGTTGTGTGTGTTTCCCTTGGATATTTAGAATCTCTTGAAGAATATAGAAAAGTATCATTATTTTCCCCTTCTTGTGCTTAAACATCCAACATTCTACCACTGATACTAAATATATGGGGGCTTTCCCCACAAACCAAGCAAATCCCTTCTCTGGCAAACACCAGCTGCATATCTTCCAACTGAACTCTTAAGAACTATCTCATACTAGATAGTGTCAGATGTTGTGAGTCACGGGCTCTTCTCATACTCCTCCTCCTCTACAGATTGCAATGACAAGCTCCAGTTGTGACCTCTACTTCTGCTAGATTAGGTATAATTCAGGATTCCAAATTCATATCCACTGCAGCCTCAGGAATTGCTCAAAGTTATTTGGATTATGTCCCCTTTGGGAAAACACGACCCACATTAAACGTAAAAGGGCTGGGTGATGTAGCCTTGCGTTGGTTGTTATTGTCAGGCATAACTGCACATTGTGAAGAGGAGCACTTTTGTCCTGTGTCCCAGTAAAAGTAACACTAGCCGCCAAGAAAAATAATTCGTATCAAAAGTGCTACCTCTTTTATTCCCAGCATCTGTTCCAAATAAACTCTTGACATCTGAAAGTGAAATCATACAGTGCAGACACACAGTTCAGAACTGTACCAGGGAGAGAGAGAGAGAGAGAGAGAGAGAGAGAGAGAGAGAGAGAGAACCAGCACTCTCCACCCAGAGCATGTCTGCCATGCTGCCCTGAAGATACGCCCTCCTACATTTTAGTTGTTCCTCCCATGGTAGGGAAAGGCTCTGATGATGTTTTACTTTGAGCATTGATGGCACCCTCCTGCTTTAATTAGGATTTATGTGTATTACTCTCAGTTAAAAATGCTATGATTAATTCTAGAAGTGCTTTAAGCATAAGAGCTTTGGATGCCCATCAAAAGCAAATAGTGTTAGCACATAAATATTTTTATTTCAATTAATACTGTCTGTACTGTTGGCTTTATGTAGCATTTTATTCTTTAAAATGGTAAATACTTATCCAGAAATTTGAGGAGCTACTTCCTTCAAATTGAAATATTTCCTCCTGGAATGGGTGACCTTATGACTTATGAAGTAAATTGAAATGATAAAGCTCAGGAAGAAAACAAACTCACAAGTCTCAAGATGGTCCTGAAACTTAGCAGATACATAAAACCCCTCTCCAGAGATGCACAGTAATCACTTCTATAGAGTGAAGGCTACTGTCCACCCACACTGCCTGCAAGTCATGTAAGCAGTTTCAGAAATGTAGCTTTCATTGAATCCTTACCCATTATTGAGGTAGGCTCTTCAGAGATGAGGCTGCCTTTTTGCCATCCACACTACTGTAAAAATTACCCCAATATTCACTAATGCATTGAGCTAGACTTAGGTGGGTCTGTT